CTGGTCCAAGGTGCCCGAAGGATTCCCCAGGAGGCCCCCACGGCGAGGAGGAGGAGGAGGGGGAGGGAGGAGGAGGAGGAGGAGGAGGAGGAGGAGGAGGAGAAGGAGGTGGAGGATGAGGGGGAGGAGGGAGGAGGAGGAGGAGGAGGAGGCGGAGGAGGAGGAGGAGAAAGAGGAGGAGGAGGAGGAGGATCAGGAGGATGAGGACAAGGAAGAGGAGGTAGGAGGAGGAGGTGGAGGAGGAGGAAGAGGAGGAGGAGGAGGAGGAGAGCAAGGAGAGCAAGGAGGAGGAGTACAGGGCGACAGGATGCCGCTTCCGCCGCGCCGAAGCGGGGGCGAGGCGCCTCGAGCTGCACGAGTAGCCGCGCGAACACCAGGCGCTGCTTCTCGCCGCCGGACAGCGCCGTCGCCTCGGGCGGAGGGCCCCAATCTTGGCGCGGGCGATCGCGCCTCCTCCACTTCTTCCATCTCGCCCCCACCATCTCCATTCTCCTCCTCCTCCTCCTCCTCGTCCTCCTCTACGTCCTCCTCGGCTCCTCCCCCCGCTCTCTCCTCGTCCCCTCCCCTCCTCCCTCCTCCTCCTCCTCATCATCATCATCATCCTCCTCCTCTCCCTCGACCACCCCCCCCCCACCATCCTCCTTGTCCTCCTCGGTTTCCGCTCCTGCTGGCTGCTCCTCTCCTCCTCCTCCACCTCCTCCTGCACCTCCTTCTCCTCCTCCTCCTGTCTCTCCAACTCGCCCTCCCCTTTCACCCCGACGTCCTCCTCCTCCTCCTCCTCCTCCTCCCTCCTCCTCCTCCCCCCCTCCTCCTCCTCCTCCTCCTCCTGCTCCTGCTCTCCCATTGCCCACCCTTCTCCTCCTTCGCCTCCTCCTCCTTCTCCTCCTCCTCCTGATCCTCCTCCATTCCTATTCCTGATAAATAGCTTCTCCCTGTCGCACCCCGAAGCATGTTTTTAGGGCGGGCCGGGCGTTTCGCATAGAAGCTTCAGAATTTGCGACAGTTTCACGGATTGAGGGCGGGTGGTTTTCAAAATGTGGCTCTCGCCTTAGCGCCGCGCGCATTCGTTTTAAACCATGTAAGAGTTTCACGGATTGATGGCGGGTGGTTTTCCAAATGTGGTTCTCGCCTTAGCGCCGCGCATATTCGTTTTTTTGATTGCAAGCGCTTCACGGATTTAGGATCGACCGTGTTCAACATGTGGCAATCGCCTTAGCGCCGCGCACATTTGTTTTAAAACATTTGCAAGGGTTTCACAGGTTGAGGGCGGCTCCTTGTCAAAATGTGACTCTCGCCTGAGCGCCGCGCATATTCGTTTTCAAACTTTGCAAGGGCTTTCCGGATTCCCATGATCAACGTACCAAGAATGGCGCGTTAGAAAACATACGGATTTTGCGGGTGCAAAAACAGTTACATTGATTCGCGGTGTTGCAATCCCAAGAATGGCGTGCTGGCAAGATCCAGGACCGTCAACACGCAACAATCAGGTTGATCCGTTACGTTGGAATCCCGAGAGCAATGTTTTGGCATGCTTCCGGGTCTTCAAACGGTTGCCGTCCATCGAGGCAGTTCCTTCAGTGGAAATGAACCGTTGTAGGAGCCTCTGAAGAGGAAGCTTGGAGGGAGGGTGGATTCCAACATCGTCGATGGCTCGTGGGTTTACACTGGTCCTCCTCCTCCTCCTTATTTTCCTCCTCTTCCTTTTCCTCATCATCTCCATCAGCAGGACGTCATCCTCCTCATCTTCGTCATAACCATCATCATCATCATCATCATCATCATCATCATCATCATCATCATCATCATCATCATCACCATCAGCATGCGCATCATCCTCATCATCTACAGCATCATCACCCTCATCAGCGTCATAATCATCAACATTCGCATCATCACCGTCGCCATCACAATCTTCATCACCATCGTCCTCACCAGCGACATGATCAGCAGCAGCAACACCATCAGCATCATCGCCAGCATCATCATCATTATCAGCATAATCCCCATTATCGTCCTCATCCTCCTCATCACCCTCATCACCAACAGCATCAACATCGTCATCAACCTCATCATCACAATCACCAGCACCATCAGTGACATCAACATAATCATCAACCTCACCAGCACCCTCATCACAATCATCCTCGTCATCCTCATCAACCAGATTATCATCAGCATCATCATCGTCACCATCACAACTCACCACAATCATCATGATCATAATCCGAATAATCACCATAACCCGCATCATCATCAGGATATTGATCCTCTTGATCATCTTGGCTCCTCCGTCTCTTCCTCTTCCTCCTCCTCCTCCTCCTCCTCCTCCTCCTCCTCCCTGCAACGTCATCCTCCCGCATACTCCCTCTCCTCCTCCTCCTCCTCCTCCTCCTCCTCCTCCTCCTCCTCCTCCTTGTCCTCGTACCACCCCCTCACTTCCGGGGCCCTGGTCCCCCAGCTGTTGGAAAGGGGAGGAGCAGCAAGGGGGAAGGGAAGAGGCAATGCGCCCTGGAGAAATGAAAGGAGGAGGAGGGGGAGGAAAAGGAGGAGGCGGCGGAACAGGAGGAGGAGGAGCAGGAGGAGGAGGAGGAGGAGGAGAAGGAGGAGTCGGAGGCGGAGGAGGCGGAGGGAAGAGGAGGTAGGAGGAGGACCTGGCGGAGGAGATGGGAGGGGGAGGGAGGATCCTTCTGGAACCTTGAGTTCTTGCCCGGTGGGCCGAGCTGCACGCAGCAGCGCACCAGGCACACAAGCCGCGGACCTGGCCTACACGCGCGCCGAATTCTTTCGAAACAAAGAAAACAACACAAAAAAAAGGTTCCACTCGTCCACTCGACGGGCATCCTCGTCTCCTCAGTCCTAGCCAGCCTCACTTGCGCCAGTGCAGTAACCCCGTCGGGCGTGAAATCCAGTAGGCGGCTAGAGGAGGAGGAGGAGGAAGAGGAGGAGGAGGAGGAGGAGAAGGAGGAGGAGAACAGGACAGGACAGGACAGCCGCATAAGGGGGTCAAAGTCGAAACGCCCGCAAAAGGAGCTGTGGGGTACGACTTGCAAAATCGCCTTCGAGTGTAGCATGCCGCAGACACAGATTTCTCACGAGGCCGGCAGGGGGCATACCCCGATGCTCAAAGGGGCGAGCTCCGAGGTGGCCCCGTAATAGAGGCTCGCTACCTTGTGAGTGCGAGTCCCTACGGGCCAGTGCGGGGGAGCGGCTGTTGGCCCTCTCGCGTGCCCATTCCAAGGGGGACGCGCTGGGCGAGCAGGGCTCCCAAGCACGGGCAGGACGACGACACGACCTCACTCGACGACGCAGGGGAGACAGGAGAGAATGCAGGAGGCCCCTACTTGCCAAGCTTGTGCTGGGGGGCCTACTTCATATTCTACCTACGTCCTGCTGGGCCCACGCTTCGAACAGAGTCCCTCCCTCTCCAGGCTCAGAGGAGGAGGAGGAGGAGGAGGAGGAGGAGGGACGAGGCAGAAGAGGAAAAAAGAGGGGGTCGCAGTGTGGAAGCGGCCGCGCCTTATCGAGTGGGTTGGAGGGGAGGCGGTTGTGGAGATTGGGAGAGCGATCTGCAGACTGACCCGAGAAGCAACACACACACATACACACGTGCAACGGCGATCGCCGCACGCCGCCACGCCTGCGCGCTGGACGCCGGGCAAGCGATGGTTAGGAGTGGACGTCTTGGGGCGGACCGACAGGGCCGCCTGCAGTGGCCGGACCGAGTGATATCCATGCCCCTGCTCCTGCCGCGACTTTCCGACTGGCCGGGAGGGCGGCATGAAGACCAGCATCGAGCCTCTGGGGAACCGGATCTTGATCCATGCCATGTCCCCCCCGCCGCCGCGAGCAGGACCAATCAGCATCAAATCGGGACATCGGATCGAATCGGAACGTGCGTCGGAACGCGCCGCATCGGAACGGACTCGGAAATGAAGTGGATCGGCCGGGCCAACATGCACCGCAACGCCGTGTAAGCGTCGAGCCGCATCGTGTCCTCGGAGCATCGGGAACGAATCGGATCGAGCCAGCCAGCAACGATCTCGAATCGAGTCGATCGGATCGAACTGGGCCCTGCGAGGGTGGTGGGTCTCCAGCGGTGCTTATAGCTTGATGGTCAGGCGTCCACTGCCGATGCACGGTCACACCCATCGATTAGAACGATCGAAAGACAAATGCGTCCCTGCATCGATCCTGGCCAGGCCCACCCTCGGCGCAGGATCGGTTGAATACAGTCTGGCCGCTGTCACGCGGAGCGCTAAAGAAGGAACGCAGCAAAGCGCGTGGGTGCACACTGAGCGCTAGGGGAGCAGCCCTGGAAGAACCCCAAGGGACGGGTAGCCCCCCGATTAAGAACTGCTCCTCATTCGGCTGTACGCCCTCAGGATTGCACGAGGGAGCCATCTCGAACGGGGCCATCTTTTCCCTGGGCGAGCGTTCGAGGTTCAAGATGGTCTGCTTCTGGGATGGACACTCGGGATGGACACTCGGGGATGGACACTGGGAATGGACACCGGGGATGAACACTGGGGATGGACACCTGGGATGGACACTGTCGATGGACACTGGGGATGGTCACGCGCAACTGCGGGGGACTAGGTGCACCGATCCTGGGACCAGGATCGGCGCAGGTGAATGCAATGGCGCTCCGAAAATTTGGCCCATCCCTGTGCACGTGGGAACCCTTTCCCCCCGCAGATTCCTACAACATGGGGTCCGGCGGCGGCGGGGTAGGTTTCAACCCTCACCCCTATTGTCATCAAATCTCATATGCTCGTTATCGTGTTCAAGACTCACTCCGCATGTCTTCCACCTGGAATAATTTACTTCGCTGATAAGGCTAAACGCACCCCGCTTGTCCTTGCTGCAGATAGAACTCCCTCCACGTCCTCTGGAACTCACCCCGCGACGTTTTACCACGACGGCGAGCGGTGTCTGCGCTCAGGGACACTCTGCCTCGACGCGACATCGCCTGAGGATGGGTTCACGCCGCGCACCTCGAGTCACATGCGCACCGTGGCAGAATGGTCACAAGCCTTGGTGCTGCAACGGGTGGGCACCCTGACGTCCGGCGATCCGTTCTTCTCCATCCGCGCACCCACGCGGGCCCGGCCGCTCCCCCGCGAGCACTGCTCTCGGGCCCCGGACCCATCTGGATGGCCCCAGAGAGAAGAAGCCCAGATTGAAAAAGCCAGGTCGTCGGAGACCTGGGTGTAGCACCGTCGGACCGAAGACAGGAAATGACATCCTTCGAGAACACGGGACCCTCCGCCGGCAAACCTGAGGAACACTCCAAGGTACCCTCCCCCGGGATGCACGAGAACATCCCAAAGGCACGGGAGGCCACGAGGGCACCCTCACCGAACCCACCTCGATCCGATACCTCGGTCCGACCACAGCCGACGCTGTCCAGATCGAGGATCGCGACGGCGGCCGTGCCTCCGCAAGGGGTTTCAAGGCGGCACGGCCGGTGCCGGCGGCGCGGGGGTGGCGCGGGGGCGGCCGAGCCCGCCGCCCAGTCGTGCGCCTGCCGGGGGGGCGGAGGCTGCTGGAGGAGCGGGCGGGGAGGCGGCGGAGAAGGGCGCGACGGCGAGGACAGGGCCAGCCCGTGTAAGAAGGACGCACGCTGAGGATGCAGGGGCCCTGGAGAGCCATGCCGACACTCTGCGGGCGGAGCGCGGCCAGCGGAAGCGGCCAAGGATCGGCCGCCGGGGAACGGATGCCAGGGTAACCTTGGAGAGTCGCTCATCCTTACTGTAAAAGGTTGACTGTAGAGGTCTCCCAAATGGGGTCCAAGCAGATGGAGTCGGAGGATCGCGCGGCATCGCCGATGCATCGGCGATGCATCTTTAATGCATCTGCGATGTCGGCGTGGAAACATCGAGCCACATCGCCGATACGTCGGCGATGCGGCGCGACCCTCCGACCCCATCTACTTTGACCCCATCTGGGAGGCCTACAGAGGACTTTCCACAGGACATTGCCGAACTGGCTCAGTCAGCACGGCGGGGGCGGCAGTGGCGGCTGCAGCGTCCGCGAGACTGGACGACGAGGCAATTGCCTTGGGCACAAACGTGGAAGCAACGTGGAGACCACGGTAGCGATCCCGAGAGCTAAGGAGGGAGGAACAACCTTCTCGAGAGAGGGCATTCCTTCTTCTCTTCTTACTCCTCCTCCTGCTCCTCCATCGGAAGCTGTTTGAACACGCGTAGACGCCCGAGCTTCGGTGAGGACGCGGACGAGGGGATCAAAAGATAAAAGAGAATTCGAAGGAGACAAGGCAGCAGGAACTGGCCAGACTTCACGACGGCACGATGTCGGCGCTCAGCGACGATGACCTGGAGCGAACCTCGAACTTCAAGGTGAGGTTCGATGAGCTAGCATCCTCGGTGTGAAGATGGGAGTGAAGTTCAGGAAGAAGAGGTAGGACATGATGGCGAGTGGGGAGCTGTGAGGCGGGCTGCCCGCTTATCGCGCTAATCCCCGCTTTGCCTCTGCCTCCCCTCTTCTTGGGCTTGCGCGGCGCCGTTGGGACGGCTAGCGCTGTGGACGACACTGGGTGAAGATTGGGGGTGGACGTTGTGAAACCGGCTTCGGCGGGGGACATGTCGAGCTGGGGACTCCGGTGCCCAGCTCTGGGTGTCCTCCAGGCGTTGGGTGTAGCTCCGCCCTCGGTCAGAGTAGCACCCCAGTCGCCAGGAGAGATGCGCACAGATGGGGCGTCGCGGTGCCTTTCGCTCGTTATCTTCTCTTTGCCGGGGAGTAAGTGCGCAAAACCTCGGTCAGCATTTGAGTATGCAAGAAATGTGGTTTGTACACTGCGGCATGAGGGCCTATCAGATAGCTGTTCGTCATAAAGGGCAAATGCCTGCCTTCAGGGATAATATCCCGTGAATGTTGTATCGGGAGAACGTACATGTACGACGTCAAACCCACCCGCACGTGGTGGCGAATGTGAATCAATGACGAGCTGGCCCAAATGCCGCTTGGGATGATGATGCCGCGCCTGGGTCTGGCCTGTCGGCGTAGCCTTTGACGGTCTCAGACTCCCTGGTCATGCCATGTCTGTGTTCCGTCTCAAGTGCCAATGATGGATGCAGTAGTGCATTTTGTCTCGCACGCGTGGTAGACGTCGTCCTCCGATTCGTGCTGCTGGGGCCGTGCTCCCACGAGCCAGTCGTTGATGGTGTACTGGTGGGTGCAGCTGTGCTACCCCATCACCTGGACGAAGATAAGATGAAGATACTTCTCCGTGGCTTCCACGAAGTACAGCTGCTCTTGCTGGACCTTCCCAGTGGGCAGCGCATTTTGTGCATGAGCTGCTTGACCAGCTGGGGCTGAGAGCACTCCGGACTCGGGCTCCCCTCCTGGGGGCAACTCGTGTTCCGGCTCGGATTCCCGCTTCCCCATGGCCCCAGAGGGCCCGGAAGCGGCCCCGCGGAGCGGCCCTGAAGCGGCCCCGCGGAGAGGCCCAGAAGAGGCCCCGCGGAGGCGGGTTCTTCC